GTTAATTTTTTTGAAAATCAAAACAGGGGTTGTTCTGATTCACAAACTTATTGTGCAGGGTGGCAACAACAYCCAAATTTTTTCTGGAATGCTCCAACCTTGAATGAACCTGTTGGTTTTCAACAACAACATCAAAGTGATTCCTACAATCACCAACCCAATTTTTACCAACAACACCCTACCCAGCCAATTTTCAACCAGCAAACAAGTTTTCAACAACAAAGTCATCAACTCTCTTTCCAAGATACAACACATCAGTCTGTTGATTCATCTACTTCCTTGGAAGCAATGATGAAAGGGTTCATAACCCAAACTCAGGCTTCAATCACAAACCTTGAAAAACAGGTTGGACAAGTAGCTTTGGAAATGAGACACAGACCGATAGGCTTTTTACCTAGTGATACAGAGACACCTCAGAGAGAAAGAAAGAGCAGGTCAAGGTTGTGACCTTTAGGAGTAATAAGACTTTAATAGAAAATCTCCAAAAAAGAACCAAGCAAAGCAGAGATTGAAAAGAAAAGTGTAGTACCAGATTCTGTTACCTCTGTACCAGATTTTGTGATTACCATTCCTATGAACCATTCAGAGAGTACTAGTAAGCCTCAACCCATAGTCAGGCCTATCGATAGTACAGCCATTCAAGAAAGGTCAGAATTACCATTGTTATTTCCTAATGAGCCCAAGACGATCCAAACTCCCAAAAAAAGTGTTGTAGTGGATGTGTCACAATCTGGTGACAGTCCCGCAATAAATGACCAGACCACTCCTATAATCCTTGGTAGAACTGAATCAGAACCCATTGAGAGACCAGTTTTGAAACCCATTCCAGCACCAACTCTTCAAAAGACTACTTCTCCTACTGCAGTCACTCCTTATATTCCTTATCCCCGAAAGATTAAGGAATCAAAAGGAAGAACTACAATTTAGAAAATTCCTTGATATTTTTAAACAGTTACATATAAACATACCTTTGGTTGAGGCTGTTGAGCAGATGCCAAGTTATACAAAGTTTCTAAAAGAGATTTTGAGTAAAAAGAAAAAGTTGACTGAGTATGAGATTGTAGCCCTGACTGAAGGGTGCGGTGCTTTGTTGTCCAGTAAAATCCCTCCTAAGCTGAAAGATCCTGGAAGCTTTACAATTCCTTATTCAATTGGAGGAAAAGAAATAGGAAAAGCCCTATGTGACGTAGGTGCTAGTATAAACCTCATGCCTTCATCTATCTTCAATACTCTAGGCATAGGTGAAGCTAGACCTACAACTGTGACTCTACAATTAGCTGATAAGTCTATAGCCTATCCTAAAGGAAAGATTGAGGATGTCCTAGTTCAGGTTGATAAGTTTATTTTCCCAGCTGATTTTATCATCCTAGACTTTAAAGCTGACAAGGACATTCCCATTATCTTAGGAAGACCTTTCCTAGCTACTGGAAGAACCCTGATAGATGTACAGAAGGGAGAATTAACCATAAGAGTCCAAAATCAAAAAATGACTTTTAATGTTTTTAATTCCCTTAGGTACCTGGATGGGAGTGACGAATGCTCCCATATTTGTTCCATTAAATCTTTAACTCATGAGAAAGGAGTAAAGGACATATAGAGGAAAGGATTGAAGCATAAATGGAGAGAGAAATATTCTAACAAGTTGCTCCCACTATCAGATATCTCAACCTCAGTCTTACAACAACATTCTAACTCTCCTACTCAATCCGAGTAGGACAGGTTCTGCCTTCTTACCATACTCTGTGTTTTTATGTTTAACTTGTGTTTCTTTATTTGTTGTTTTAAAATATGTCGGTGTCAGTATTGTTGTCATCATAAGAGACAGTCCCTCTCTTATATGTTTTTGTGTCCTTTTCATTTAAGATGATCATACCATGCTTATGCTTGATTATCTTTGTTTTTCCATTTCAATAGTGCTTAGCTTTGAGTCATTTTATTTTTAAAATGATCAAGTCACACTTGTGACTAATCATCTTTGTTTTTTTGTTTCAATCTAGGATTTTGGGCACTGATTTTAAGTAGCATATTTTCTTTTAGCCATTATGCACCAACAATAGAATAAATAATGAATGTGTTGTACAAATGCTTGAATTGATGTCATAGCCACAATAATCCAAAGCTTAACCATATTTATCTTTAGTTGAGCCTCTAGAACTAGCCAACCATTTCCAAAGCTTGAACTTGATTCAATTGGGCTTTCATTTCAATTTGGCCAATTTGTAGCCTTGAGGCAATCATAATGAGGACATTGTTTCCCTTAAGTTTGGGGGAGGGTCCTAAAAGTACCAAACACTTTATAGAGTTCATGAAACATATGCATTAAGACCAAAGACAAACAAAGAAACAAAGTTCCATGTCTTGTGCATACAAAAGAGTGTCAAAGTACACCAAAATGTTTGAAAAGGACCAAAGTGTCCAAAATACCTCAATATGAGATGCATAGCAGTAAAATTATGCTATGGAGTGAAAAAAGTGAGATGAGGTAAAAGACATGCATTAAAAAGAAAAATTCAAATGCAAAACCCAATTCAAAGTCCCAAATTCTCTGTTGAATCTAGTATAACAATAGAAATATAGGCTAGCTTATGGTTTGGCAATATGAAATATTTAAGTTTGGGGGAGCTAGGTTTATGAAGGGCTATGGATATCAAGCATCAAGTCAGGAGTATAACATTTTCATTCAAAAAATTTCAAAAATATGCATACTTTGGCTATGGAATGTTTACGCTCAATTTTTTTAGTTTATTAGAAATTTGAGTCTTTTAATTTGTCATTTTCTGTTGTTTGGGGACAAACAACAATTCAAGTTTTGGGGTGTGATAAGTGTTAATTTATTAACCTTATTACATCATTTTCTTAACCATTTTCCTTTGTTTTATTTGCCCATTAGTGTCTTAATTGAGTCTTTTTATGTCTTTTTCATATATTAGCAGTAATATAGTATATCTAATGTTAATCCCCTGTTTATGCAGTTTTTGATGATTTTTGGGCCCGATCCTGTAGCAGTCCTGTAGGACCAGGAGTGGCAGAATCCTATAGCACCTGTCCATGAGCTGCACTTTTGTCTGGGCCGAGAATTCTTGGGCTGCTCCCTTGAAGCTAATGGGTCAACGACCTTGGGCCTGGTCAAAGCCCATTTTTGAAGAGCCTGTTGTCTTATTAGGTGGCTCCCACTTAGCAAGCTCCCTTAGCCTATAAACAGAAGGCTTAAAGCTTGTTTTAAACATACTTTTACTTAACTTCTCATTTGTTAATTCTCAAATCTTTGAGTTTTAAACATTTGCTCTCTAGATTATTGCTTTCAGTTTCATGATTTCGGTTTCCTTGCTTCCAACCAAGAACCGATTTTTGAGAAGTGTGATTTCGTTCTCAAGTTTAATACAAGTTGTTGATCCCAGATCTCTCAATAACATTAATAATCTAGTTATGAATAACCAAATTATAGTGATTTAAAGAAGAAAGTTATGAAGTCTCAAGAATAAAATAAGAAAGCTTAAGAACAATTTTGAGCTTCAAAGGTTTTACTTTATAGATTTATAAACGTAAAACAAAGAGTAAAAGCCTTATTTTTACAATAGACCTAATCATCTATTTATACTAAATGACTATTAATAAGATAACTATCTAATGCTACTTTCTAGCAAATCGTCTAGCTAATAGATAGGGTTTATCTTTCTCATAGATAATCATTAACAATAAGATAAACTTGAACTCCAGCTGTTGATTTGTCATCTCCAGCTGTCATTCATGATATGATGACTTCATTCTTATCTTCAAATCTTCATTGCATGCTTGGATGAAGTGTTGGAAAATCTTCTAAGTGTTGCTTGTCCAGAGGATCGATGAGGATGCTCTTTCCATCGCATCCTTGAACTTGTCCATTGATCCTCTGGTTGAACTTATCCATTGGTCCAATGCTTGAACTTGTCCATCGGTCCAATGGTTGAACCATCCATCGATCCAATGGTTGAATTCCAGACTTTGTCGATTTTGCCTTGATGTCTTCATTGGTCTTCTTGTTCTTCATCACTTGTTGTTTTTCATTACTTTTTACATTTTGCATTGTGGGGTTTAACAATTCTTCCTAAGTAATGAAATAACAAACAAAGTCTAATCTAGACACATATGTGAAGAACATAAACTAGTCTAGTAGAAAAACATCACACTCCAATTTTTATTGGATGCTGAAATTTCTTTACAATACTGGAAACAAATTACATCAAGACAAAATGAGCAAAAATTTCATCTCATTACTAACTACCTGAGTATATCTTTTTAAAGCACAAGAGTAGTATTCGATAAGCAATGATAGTTGATATCTCATGTATGAGATGACTCCCCTCTTCCCTCGGCACATGGTTTCTGTCCACTCTTTCTCTAATGTTTTTCTGAAACCATTCAAGTGTATCTGTTGAATACTTGAAGGCTTCAGTCAAT